CTGCTCTGGTTTCAGTGCCCAGTGCTACTTTCATACTAATTTCTCCTCCACTCTACTGATGTGAGGAAGTGGGGTTTGCCCACAAACCTCATGATACTAGCTCGCTCTCTCTCTCACACGCACGCGCTACTCTCTAAAATGGTAAAGGACTGCTCATTCATACTGATGTCATCCTGAAGGGGATCCCTGCAAGATCACGTGAGGGTACCTTGATTCTGCATGTGTTAGTACCATTCCTTTTGCAAATAGGGATATTAGTGAGTAGTCAAATAGAGTATCAATTACTCAAATCCCCGCACCTTGCTGCCTCTATGAGAGGCAGCAAAGGGGGTGGAGAGGGGCAAGCAGGAGCCATGCTAGTCACCTAGTTGTCAGGCTTCCTTGCTGCTTCAGAGAGTTGCAGTCAAGTAGGCGCCAGTCCCCTGACAGGGCCAGGTTATCAAACTGCCCGTGGTCCCTGCATCCCCAGCCTAGGACCGACAACCACACTGGAGTTCTGGCCTCCTGAGCAGGGCTATCTCCTCCTATCAGGCACATCTGCCTGGAGCATGTGCAGGGAGGGAAAGGGGACATGGCCTCCTGGGCCCACAGTGATTAATCCATCCCTGCTAACCTAGTGCAGGGTTGGTACACGCCATCATGCGCCAAATGACTGACTTACTCATCACAGTTATAGATGCAACTCTCCTGCAAACAGAAAAAGATTTTATTATGCCCATTAATGAAAGGATGAGTCCATCACAGGTTAGAGACTGTTTAAATCCTGAAGGGTTGGTGTCTGGTTGGCGCAAAGCACCTGGTGCTGCTGTATAATGGAGCATACAGGAAGTCTCACTGTCTTCCCCACCCCCAAGAACTTTAAAATAGAGAACCAACAAGCAAGTGAAGAAGAAACTGTCACAAAACACAACTAATGTGGAATTAAGTTTAAGCTCAAAGCAGTGTAGCACATCTTACTCATGCCAGGTTTCATCTTGCTGCCTCAGGCAGCAGGAGAGAACTGAGGGGAAGAGCAGGTCAGGGCTGCCCCAACCTTTATGCTCTCACATGGGAGCAAAAGGAGACATAAGCTGCATGTGCAACACTAGAAAATACCACTCAGAAAATTCTGATCTTGCATATATGAGGTGTATAAACACCAAAAGTGGGATCCACAATGGCACACAAAAAATAAGTATTGTTTCCTTCTTAAAATCAAGAAACTCAGAGGCTACAGAACATACATGTGTTTGGTGTTAACATTTTTTAAATTCACACTTTGGAATTTGTCATCATGTGGCTGTGTTTAAAAGTGCACAGTGCAAGTTTAAATTGTGTTTAGTGAACAAGAGAGCAAACTCTCTACCTACTTTTTCGTAAGCCTTTTTCACTCGCTGCCCATTTGCTTCAATAAGCAGTCCTTTGACTTATGACACACTTCGTTCCTGAAAATTATGTCTCAAGTTGAAACATAACTAGGAACCTAGAAATATTAAGCCTGGTATCAAGCATCATAATGTCAAAACCAATGTCTGAAGTCAAAACAAGTTGTCGGTTTAAAAATATCCTAAGTCTCGATTGTCAATTCAAATGTCGTGAAGTCAAGTATAATCAGTACTTTCCAGATCTCCACTGACCTGGACTATGAGGACGCCACCTCTCACCATCCCTCCGTGACCCAGCTAATCGCCAACCTGCATCATCCTCTTCCCCATTTTGCTCCTCCCTGAAGATGCGCCAGTTCTCGCTCTCAGAGCGAATAAACTCATGTTTCCTCCCTGTTGTTGTTGTCCCAACTTCCTCAAAATTCGGTCTCACTGCGAAGAAAACATACATAAGTGAACATGTAGTCCAATCTGAGGACACTGGAAGCATATGGCTGTAACGTGCATCTGGAGCCATCACAAGTAATCAAACATACAGTCCCAAGAATCTCCAACATGATTTGAGAGATGAGGATCAAAGGAAGCAATGCATTTAGAGACCAAGAGGAATGGAGATTCACAGGGTAAGGAAGGAACAGTGAAAAGGTTCAAGAGGAAAGGATGAGGAAGAAACGGGGGGGAAGGCAAAAATGAGAAGTAAAAAGGAAAGTGCTATACAGTGAGCCCTCGCTACTTCGCGGTTCGACCATCGCGGATTCACGACTTCGCGGACTTTTTTCATTACGTATGTATATATTATAAAAGAAATATCGCGGATTTTCCAGAAATTTCGAAAATAGCCGCGATATATGAAGACCCCAAATATTTCGTTAATTCCATTAATAATTAGTAATATCTGCTCTTACTGATGGTTCATTGCATTACATATGACATATAATTCAGTACAGAAAGAAATAAAACATGAAAAGTCTGAATATACATGTTAAATAAATACGTAAATATGGTGTCCCTACTTCGCGGATTTTCAGCTATCGCGGTCGGGTTTGGAACCTATCTACCGCGATAAACGAGGGTTCACTGTACATTTATTTTTAATAAAATATAAATTACGTGATTTTCAGTTGTAGAGTTTGTACAAAAACTTTTTTGGGGAGGCCTATAAAACCACCCTTTATCAGAATCATTTACAATAATATTTTTAGTGCAAAACAATGGTGTTGGTAAATTTAAGAGTGATTTTAGAATTATGGGCCAAACAAAAAATACTGCTGCATCTGCATTACTGTGTATCTTGGATAAACAAAATCTAAGAATGAGATTGACAGCTATAGATGAGGCAATGAGGAAAGGAATAACTATATGCAAGCTTAAGAAATTGGCGAAGAAGATATAAAATGTTGGTAGATCTGGGACCAACTACCTTTAATAGCAACGAGTAGTAGAGTGGCACCTTAGAAACTAACAAAAATATATATAGTATCATGAGCTTTCGTGGGTAAAACCAACTTCTTAAGATAAGCTGCAGTGGAAATAACAGAAACCAAATATTTACAAAAGAAGGGGGCGAGGAGGAGAACCTGTCAAGTATAGGACAGTCGCTCATGAGGATAATTAAGTGGGCTGAAAGTATCCCAATCTTCGCTTCTGATGCAAAAATAGAGTTGTTAAAGGCAGGGGAGATTGGCTTTATAATGCAACATCCAGTTATATTCGGTTTTCTCCTGTTACAACTTTAGAAATCTTATGAGCCATACAGATGTGACACATTTGCCTGCTATTGTGGGTACATGCTAACCTGGGAGTGTTTGGATAGCTCCAAAATAGATACCAATTTTAAAATTGGTATAAAAGGGGATATATGGAAAAATCAACCAACATAAGATCCTTTTATGAAATAATTCAAATATTTTAAGAGAGCCAATATTTGGTGAAGTTTGTATTTTAATTTCCTATTTTTCCTTATCTTAATAAATCTGAAAATGTGACCCCAAATTATGCTTCTGAAGCACAGAAAAGGCTCTAAGTCATATCCTGCAAGATATCCTAAGATGAAGCTCTAAGAACAATGTCAAGCAGGAATACATAAAGGTGTTTACAGATTCCTCAGCCTGGCTAGAATTTCTAACAAGAACTTAAATACCTGGATGCAATGATAGCGCAAAGGTCAGAGATTCTGTACCTGCAGTCGTGTTTTTCATAGGTAAACCACAGGGAATTACTGATAACAGGGCCTCATTGACAAGCGCAAACCCTATACAATTTTCATGGCTTACCAACAGATTTCCTAATTTGTGTGTCTTCTCTAGTCACCCTCTGAAGCCATTCTTTTACATATATAAAAGATAGAGGAAGATGCAAAAAACACTACATTAAAATGACAAAGAATTAATCTTTAACTCTTAACTGCCATGTTAAAGATTAACTCTGCACAGGGTGACCATATTTCCCTATGCTGAGTACAGGACACCTGATAAAATCATTTTTCTTCAAATAAAGAGGGTTAGCCCCTGCCCAGGGACAGCTGTGGAGCCTGCAGAATCAGGGCATGAACAAGCTGGAAATCACTTTCCCCTACCACTCCACATCTTAGCTGAGAGGAGAAGAGGCTTCCCCAGTGTGGCACAGTGTGGGGTTTTGGCACATACAGGATGTAGCTTCTCCTGGACTATATTGGGGCAGGGGAGGGGGGAGAATGGGAGAGGAAAGAGAATATGGAGGAGAAGCAGATCTGGAAGGGGAAGTGAGGGGGCAAAGCAGGGAGAAGACAGTGAGAAGGGGGAGGGCCAGTAAAGGGCCAACAGATAGGCACCTCATGCCTGACCTCCTCACCAGCCACTGCAGCTCACAGTGTGCAACCCATGCTGGCTGGATACAAGGGGAGAGTGCCCTGCTGGCCAAGAGCTGGCATGCAACAGGGATTCACTAATGGACCAGATGGAGGAGCAGCCAGGCCCATGAACAGTATCTTCACCCCACCACCAGCCTTGCACACCCATCCTGAGTCACTGGATCCTACCTATTCACCAGTGGTAGGCAGGTGAACAGGGATGTGGCCAGCAGCAGGAGCCATCAGTACTGATGGTGGAGAGACAGAGGATACAGGACAATTTGCTTGTTTTTTTAAGAAAAAAGTTGGGACATGTGCAGGAGCCCCTAAATACAGTGTCCCTTTAAAACTCTCAACCAGTAACAAAGGAACATCTTTAGTTTGTGGTTTCAGTGAAGAGTTACAAGCCCTTCTTAAGTTATCCAACTCCCCTCTTTGGGTACGTCTAGACTACATGCCTCTGGCGACAGACGCATGTAGATTAGATTACCCGGCATAGGAAAATGAAGCGGCGATTTAAATAAATCGCCACTTCATTTAAATTTAAATGGCTGCTGCACTGAGCCGGTCAGCTGTTTGTCGGCTCAGCACGGTAGTCTGGACGCTCCGTGGTCGACATCAAAGGCATTTGTCGACCTCCCAGGTATGCTCAGCGCGGCAGCAATTTAAATTTAAATGAAGCAGCAATTATTTAAATCGCCGCTTTGTTTTCCTATGCCGGGTAGTCTAATCTACATGCCTCTGTCGCTAGAGGCATGTAGTCTAGACGTACCCTTTGAGAAGTATAGTATTTATTCCAGAAGGGCAAGTTCACACAAACCTTATAACAGAGATTCAGCGTGCTTTGTTTTAAAGGGGATTTAGTAGATCTAGCTTCCCTATTTACAATAGTTCCATTAAAAGCTGCTGCCTGGTATTCAGGTAAGATTACTTTAACTGGTCAAATCATTTTCATGGTGAGATCAGGACATTCCTCCCAAACATAGCAAAGTGTACTATAATAACTTCTTTTGCATTTGATGGTTATTGTATTCAGCAATGTAATTTCTGAAGACTGCACTTAATTGCACCATTTCAAAATTGGTACTAATGTGCTAGATGTACTGTTACATTCATAATTTGCATACATGCATCCTTGTATTAACAAACCTAGCCTGCCATTTAATATTATATTTATCTTTGTGGTTCTAGCCCCTCTCTTGTGCAGAAAACTGCAGTCAAGGAATTTACAGTTTTCCTGTCCATTACGTTAAGAAAGACAATGGTTTTGTTTTCAAATATTGACATAGTATTACTGATATTAAGTTCTCAATTAGTACTTTACAAGAAATTCAATCTATTTCTAATGTTGTTTGACATGCACAAACTGACAAGACATGATCTGGTGCACTTTTTAGGGCTGCTTGTAGGGACAGCAATATACTAGATTGACCTTGGAAAAAGGAGGTGATGAATTTACAGCCCCGAATTTCTAGTCCAATACAGTTGTTTTAAGGATAAGGGAAGCGTATTCAAGAGTAAATATTATATATAAAAGGAGAAAGGCACAATCTTTAGAGTTCTGGCATTAGCATCTTTTCAAGTGTTTGTATGCAGGTCTAAATGATCACATTAAGCAAGTGTTTTGGGGCCACACTCCTCAATTAAACAGTAAAAGGGCCTTGCTTAAGTCTCCATGTACCAGGACAACACAAACAAGCCAATTAGCAGGCAGTGACAGATGACAAAGACTAAGGACACAGATAAGTAATAAGGTTAGTGTAATTGTACATCTTGTTTTGGCTGGGACAGTCCTTTTTCTAAGCCCTATCCCCCCATCTCAACTTTTTTTTAGCAAAAGAGGGCATTTGCCACATTTGCTTTTGGCAAGAGCAAGTGCCCACTTTTGTTGTTGTTTTTCTTTCAAGTGTGGTGTGGAGAAACATATGGAGGATGGCGGGGTGTGAGTGGAGCTGTATTAGGCAGGGGTTGAGTGACCAGTGACAGTCGAATGAAGGAGGGGAGACATCTGGCAAGCATCTCGGCTCACCTCTGCACAATGTCCTGTTTTCCATTTGGGAAATGTCACCTTAACCAAGCTGGATTTTGAAAAAAAAGGGCCTTGAACACTCTCTCAGCTAAAAGTCCACTGCACCATTTTGAAACTCCAACCAATCAAGGATCAGGAAAAAAATCTCAGAAAAGGAGCAATAGTGAAGTTACTAACATGTGGAGTAAAGTCGATGCAACAAAAAAATTGACGTAGTTTATATTAAAAACTTGAGTTTTCCACAGTATAAGTAAACTGAATTTACACAGTTACCAGAAACTCACCTTACTGGGTTGAAATTTCTTAGTATAGCAGCCAGGTTTTGACCATGGCTTTTCTAAGATGAAAAGAATAAAATGCAATCTATGGCCTTGCCTTGGACTAATTGACTGGACTTCCTGAGGAGAAGGTGCAGTAAAAGGGCACCTGTGTTCATGTTTGACACAAAGCCAGAAACAGTGTTTATGGAAAACTTGAGAGCAAATAGGCATCTAGCCAACAAAGTCTACGGCTGTGCAATTTGGAATAGTAAAGTGGCTAACCCCAAAGAACAGGAGTGGAATTCTGGGACACAGCAATGTGATAAATTGTTTATGTACAGGATTTTCTAATAGAACAGCAAATAACTTGACTAAGTTTCCACAAGATATATAGACTTCATTCTTTCCTAAGAGGAACAGGGTTATTAACAGCAATATTACTGCCAATAGTTAATGGGGGCTAATGGGAAGAAATCGATCCAATACTATAACTCTCTCTCCTTTCCTCTGCCCTTTTGTTTTCTCACAAGGCAAGTAAATAAATACTATGGTAATATCTGGCATTTGCTATAGCTTTCAGAGAACCTCAAAAAACTTCTCAAAGATCTGTAATCTGCAGGCATGTTTTATAGCTAGGGAAAACTGGATAACACCTAGCACAACAACATTACTGGACTACATGCAAACATACATAATTAAGGCTACAAGTCTGTCACAGATTATATGACTTTCCAAGACTTCGACAGTAACTAGTGCAGCTGACAGTCTGCTAAGCAGCTTGGGCAGCCCCTGAACCAGCCAAACTGGACACTGCTGGGGCAGTCTTGGGCTGCCATTGTGCCTCCCCCTACCCCGAGCAGCAGCAGCAGAGATCCCAGGCCAAACACCACCACTCAATCCTCCCCTACATATCATCAACAAAGTTTCAGGCTGTGCACTACTGCCTCTCCCGCCTCCCCCCAAAGCACCCACAGTGCCTCTGGGCTACATACTGCCCCACCTTCTGCATCCATTGTGCCCCCAGAGCACCTACAACATCCCTTCCCTCACAGCACCCAAGATTTAGTGAGAGGTATATAGTACAAACCATGGCCTGGACACAAATCATGTATTTTTGTTTCCTACCTATGATCTGCCCATGACTTACACTAACTACACCCATGACTAAAACGTAGCCTTAATAATAATCTAACTCGCATAATGACACACAGTAAATCAGTGATATATTCTGACAAAAAGTTCAGTTTGACAGATTATAGTTCTAAACACTAAGTAATGCCACCTCCCCAGATTCCCAGTCTTAGACCCTCTTTCTACCTCCAGTTTCCTTCCAAGCCCTACTATTCAAGCACCTTCAGGTGCAGTTTGACTACTTTTCCTAGAAAGGCTGCTGGATTTCTTTCCAAGTCCTCTGTATTTTTAACTAAATTCACTAACATTTGCTGGCACTGAAATTAATCGCTCAGAGCAAAAGGAGAAATAAAAAAACAAAGGAATGCAGCAGGACTAATTTCAATGTATGTCCTATTGAAAGCGTTAATCTTAAGCATGAGCTAGCTTTCCAAAGCACTCTATGAGGATTTGTTCAGAAACACATGACGAGAACTATAAGCTTTCTACAATACAAAATATGGCTTCTTATGATTAAAAAAAGTTTATTAAAGTGGATAACAGCAAAGGTTCTCTGTAGTGGAAGTGCAACCCCACTACAATATGTAAGGAGAGTCAAGGACAAAATGCTGTCCTACACACTGGCATGAATGGAGGGTGTCCCCTTGTGCTAGATTACTTTGACTGATCCTGGAGGTCATAATATGCCTATCAGAGTTTATGGTGCTCTGCCTGAACATGCATTAAAATGTTCTCCTCTAATGAAACAAAGAATTAATGTTCTGTATTTTTTGTTTTTTTAAAAAGGAAAAACCATCAGGGGGAGATTTCATTTCCTAAGTAGGAAAGTCTACATTAATAATTTTCCCAGCAGGCCTTCAGTAGTTTTACTGAAAACAATCACAGCCTTTGTTTCTCAGATCCTCTTACGTCTGACGCTTGCTCAAAGTCTTCACATCAGCAGCTAACTCAGAAAAAAAATGGAACACTGAACTGCATTACAAAGGTATCCTCACAGTTCATTATAATGGTGTTCGGAACTGGACACTACAGGCATATTTTCAGCTAAAAATATTTCATTAGACAGCTGTTCTACTCAACACTAAAACTGAGGGACACAAAAATCTGAGTGCATGAGTAGCGCATTATATTATCCAGATTCAGTTTCACCACATCTTCAAACTGCAGCAACTTCCTCTAATCAACTTTGTTTCATCACAGGTTTAAAGAAAATCCCATGAGTAATTCAATACTTTTACAAAGGAGCAGTACGGAGATGGAACAGGAAGGGCAGGATCTGGATCTTCTGACTAGTATTAGACTACAAATCATCTACAGTCTCCAGTGACTGTGACTAGGCTGCAACAATATTCACTGTTAGATGTAGCCCATTCCATCTGCTAACAAGACTCAGGTGTAAAAGACCCAGTGAAAGAAGGAAACATTGAAAGGGTACATTAGGCACCAGGATTCCCAAACTCCACACAAATATATCCTACTTGACTTTTGTTCGGAAAAAAGCATTAGAGAATATTTCACATTTTAAAGCGACTATAGGAGGAAAAAGTTCTAAGGAATTTTGTCCCTTTGAACTTCCAAGTAAAACCTTAAATAAGATTATGCAAACCTACAGACCAATCCCGATTAGTGAGGGGGAAGGGGGAGGAAGGGAAAAGCACCTCTCCTCCAAATAAGTTCTTGAGGATTTCTCCTCTGCTGCTAGGGTTTGTGTTGGATAAAGAAAGCCCTTCTAATAAACCAGCATTCTTTTCCACCTGATCAGAGCTAATTGGCCCCCCTGCAGATAATATGACCAATCACATCAGCTTCAGATGAAAACCAAACCCCTTATATTATAAACAGAGGAATGAGAGACATGTAAACCCATTTCAAAGAAGAGATCCCTACAACCGTGGAAAGTTTCTTGCTTGTGCTAGGACCAGAACATAAGATTATTGAAGTCTACTGTTGGGACCCAAAGCCTCTCCCCCTTTCCCCTGCAAACAGATTAAAGCTTCAAAGACATTGGTAAGTACATACAATTACTTTTTTGGCAAAGTTACTTACAACAGAATAATTTTAACTTTTAAAAAACAATGCAAGTTGTTTTCAGAGTGTAGAGCTTTTGCTTTTTGAAGCTTCTCTACTGGAACATAACCTTAAGCAAAATGAACTCTTTTTCTAACTGATAATATCCACAGTCGTATAAGAGCGAAGCCAAACTCTCCATCATTAAGAACCCTGTCAAAAAAGAGAGCACTGGACAAACTCCACAATGCTCAGAAGACAGGTGCATAGAATTGAAACAAAGGTAATCAACTATTGCTACAGATGGGAAAAGACCAGGTTCACACCACTATTTATTCTGGTTTGGTTCAGATTTGTGTTGAGGTACATTCAGTGTGTTTAGGTTCAGTTCTGGTTCAAGCAATTAAAAAATGGTTCAGTTACTGGTGTCAACTGGTTCAAACCAAATTTCAACCCAAAAGAATAGAAGTAAATTAAAAAAAAGTTTCAGTTTTACATTTCAACTATTTTCATTTTTGGACATTTAGTTACTTTTTAACTTTACGTGAGTTCTAGTTCTCATGTTGTCTGACAAACAATTTGTTTGAGCACACTGGAATACCATCTTCCAAACTAGACCTAAATTTGAGTCTGGGGCAATGGCCCTGCCTCAAGTGTGACAACTCAAGGAAGGCACTTGCCATGGGTTGGGGATAGGAGGAAGGATGTCTATGTGACTGCAATCACCTGGGGAGCCATTACTCTTTGTTTGATAGTGAATAAATAGTTAATTTCTAGGACCAGGAGCATTCCACTCCTCCTCTCACTGGGGGAACGTCTCAAAGTACATCTACATAGCAGTAAAAGACGTGTGGCATCAAGTCTCGTAGTCCAAATCAGATGAGTCTCGTGGTGCTAAAGACAGCAGTGTAGACATATCAGACACAGGTCAGAGTGGTGGCTTGGAAACCCAGAGAAATGGGAGGATTTCAGAGCCCAGGACTGCTATCCCAATTCAGTTGACCCATGCTCTCAGATTTGGCATTGTGGGGTGTTTTATTGCTATACAGATTAATCCAGAGATGGTTCATCTGTCTCTGGGCCCTTTGCTCTCCGACGTGCTGTGCAGATAGCTCCAAGAGTGCCTCCTTTCCTTCCTTACTCCTATGGATTGGTCTCCTCCTATTCTCTTACTATACTTGGGGAGACCCTTCTGGTTGCAAGCATGCCTAACGGTTACTTGAGAATAAAAATAAGGTCACGGTAGTTTAAAATGTTGAGTGTAAGAAATGTTGGATCTGTATTTTCATTGTAACCCACCCTTTTTTTCCCAACTCAACTTTTATTCAGGTTCGGTACAGAAAACTAAACATGAACTCTAGTTTTGTTTTGGTTCAAATAAAAATAGTGGTTCGCACTGGCTTTCCAGCTCTGTTTTCTGGAAAATATCAAGAGATACCATGATCAGGAAGGTGGTTTTCCCAGGGTGAGGCTCATCCTTTACACTGCGGGTGTGCTAACCCCTGCGATTTCCCCAAATGCGGGAAACAACTGCATAATTTGTAGTAGAGGGGACTGCATTTGCACTTTCCCCTGACAAACAAACAAAAAACTAACCCCTTTCTACCTTCCCATTGCATTCATCAGAGCTCAGTAAACATTTAGCTTTAAATGACGACCTTACAGTTTCAGGATCTCTTGATAGCAAACTGACTGTACCTATGAAATGAGAGTTACACTGGGAACTAGCAAGACTATTTTGTTAATGTGAAGGTAATTATTCAGGAGGGTTTTGTACATAACACCAGGCATGAATTGCACTGGTACGGAACATGACTGATTATCTCATAGGTAATAAGCTAGTTTGCTGCACACAGGATAGGGGCAGCATTTAAGAAAATGTCAAGTTACATTAAAGATGGATAGCTAATAGAGAAACATGGGCCCATTTTATCCAGCTTTAAATATCAAATGGCTAGTACTTGGAAACCAGCTCTTTGCTCCCTTCCTAATCCCACTGATCTCCCCCAGTGCCCAATAATGAAAATTTAGGACTTTACATCCAGATTTCTGTGTAAGGGAATTCAAAATATTTACCTTACAAGATGAAGTCTAACCAGTTTTTTGGTAAAGCTTTTCTAATAACGTGAAGGAGACTAGTTAGTATACGGCACTCAAATGTCACTTCATAATCAGTGGTGGAAATAATAGTCTAATAGTTTTGAGCGGTACAGTGGTATATCAATATTTATCTAGTCAAAATCTTAATCAATAAGGAGACTCACTATTGGTTTACATTGTAATGTAAACAAAACTCCCTCCCTCCCTTTCCTATTCATCAATTTTACCTCAAAGCCTTTTAACAGTTTACAATTTAATTAAAAATTCAGCGTACATTCTACACTTCTTTACATCAGGAGAATATTATCTTGCTACTTCTTCCTTTTCATCTCCAACAACTACTTCAGAATCACAGAATATACAGGTTCTGGCATTTGCCCTAGAATTCATGCTCTGCCACAAAACTGTGCCGCAGAAGTTATTTTTGCTCAGAGCGGGTTTAGGAGGGGTGTTCAAATTATATCTTGAAAACATAAATCAACTGTAAACCTACACTGTGCCTTGTCAATTCTGCAAGAAAATTAGAACAACAGATCTGTCATGTAAATTACATTCACTCATCTCAATGGTTAGTAATACAGAAACCTAGAGACAATATTGTTTAAATTTCAGCAATTTCACTGCTGATCATAGCAGTACAAGCATCCAGTTGACGTGATTAACCCACAAACCAAACTGTCTCCTATGTCTTCACAGATGCCAAAAGCACAACTGGTTCCTTCCCAGCTTTTCCTGACAAATTCTATGGTGCAGTTATGCACTGCCAATAGAATAATTTACAGAAAATATGAAGCATGGGGACAGCATTAAAGAAGTTGGATGTAATGTCAAACACCTCTGACACTGATGTGTGTATATAAGCTCCTTAAAATGAAATTTAAGTGAAGCTGCCACAGAACCTAGAGATTTTGCTTCAGAGTTTAGGTCCATCTAGCCATGAGGTGGAACAATGCCTCAACAACAAGAACAACATGAGCTCTAGCTGCTTACCTTTAAGCAATTCCAGTTATTTCTGAAATAGGTATACAGCATTTTTCATTTGTGCCCATATAATGTAAGCTTGGATTTTTACTTGCCTCCTCGCAGTACCTGCATGTTAATCAATATGACTGCACTAATATACTCAGAATTATACTTCAATACACTGCCAAAAGGAAACTAAATTCTATACTTACAAGAAGGATAATTGTGAGCTTCTGAGAATTAAGCCCAGCAAATTCATCCTATAATAGTATTTTTGCCTTTTACCAGTTGGTTGTAAATACCAACTAGACTCCAAACAGTACTATTTATCTCATATGCTTTCCAAAAATCCATTAAAATAGAATACGCAAGAGATGTAATGGCACTTGGGAAGCTGGGTAGCACTCTGGAGAAGATTTGCTGGAATTCTGCTACAAATGAAAGCCTATTCAAGAGCTCTAACACCACAGTGGTGACAACTTCTGTAGCTGACGACAGTCTGAAAGTCCATTTACCTCACTGCCCTCAGTCAGGAAGTAGATATGAACAAAAGGAGGGGGACACATTTGGTGTCAGAGTACTTGCGCTCTTTCACAAGAGTGAGGTGGAATATGAACTGCCTTGAGAAGCAAGGGAAAGATAGGAAATCAGGGTGGCATAAAACAGCCAAACTGCCTCAGCTGAAGAGCCACAGAGCAGAAGGCAGAAGAAAGTGTATTCAAACTGGCAAAATGAAGCAGGTTACAGGTGTTCAGGACAATGTACGCTTGTAACCATTAAATTCTATGGTGGAAAATAATTGCTAACATAACATGGACTTCAGGAGTACACTAAAGTATGAAAGAACTGCAGAGTATGGCTGTGTCATGGACAAACCATCAGGAGACAAGGACTAGAAAAAAAAGAAGTCAGATTCAGTTAAACCACTTGGGCTCTCCTAAGGAAAAAAAGAGAAAAAAGCATCAACTGACTTAGCTATTCTACAATCATTTGTTTCAACCAAATTAATGTAGGAAAGAAACTGGGTTGAGGAATGGACAAGATTATGAACAAGAGGTAAAGAAAGGAAATAAAAGGAGAAGAAAAAGAAGCTGTGTCACATACACATGTGATTTAATATCTATCACTTCATTCTCAAAATGCAAGAGCAACATAAGAGAAAGTACTGAGAAAACTAGAAAAATATATCAAACGAAGGGTACGGAAACAAAGAGGTTGAAAAAAAACTTCTTTGGTAGTAGTAGCTCTTTTTGTCTCGAAGAGGTACATCCTGACGAACTGAGAAGCAGATTCATGAGAAGAACAAAGGCATAACCAAAGCCAAGGGATGATGTTAAAGCTGGACAGACTCAGGATTTTTGTTGATGCTTTTTTTTTTTTTTTAAGTGAGGATAATTAAGCATTGGAAAAACTTACCTATGGCTGTGGTGAATCCTCCGTCACTGGAAATTTTAAATCAAGACTGGGTATTTTTCTAAAAATTATCTAGTTCAAAAAGGAAATCAATCCAGGGAAGTCTTATGGCCTGTTTTATGCAGATGGTCACACTAGATGTTCACAATAGTTCCTCTTGATCTTATAATTTAAGAATCTATGAACAGTGAAAGTAGAAAATATGTAAATCATCTGACAGAATTAGGTGAGAAAAGGAGAGAAGTAGACAGAGAATGAACATCTGTCATCTAATTTTTCAAATACATTTAAGGTGCATCTGCTTTTCAAAAAACAATTGCGTGAAGGGTGGAGAAGGAATCCTCACACATTCTAGATTTGGAATTCAGAGCTTAAAATACCAGTTGATTTATCCCCCACCCCAAAATGTTTTTCTTCTCATCATCAACTAGCTGCACTACTTTGGGGTCCGCTTGCATTTTCCTTCTCTCTCCATTCATCCCACAAAAAAAGATTTACCTCATGATCTAACAAGACAAGACACCAACAGGTTCACACCCTCTTGATTACTGTTTAATCGACATTAAATATGGAGCCTAAACTCATACTTAAAATTTATTCACTGCACCACTGATTGGCAACCTTGCACTATCACCACCACATCAAACAGAAAATGTTCAAAACAACAATGTAATAAAGAAAGGTTGGTGCAGGAGATTTCATAACTTTAAATGTGTATTACTATACAGTTAAGAAGGCTGCTCTGCTGAAGTTTGCTGTTTTAACATAGGCATGAGAAAGAACAATGAACCTGAAAAACTATTCCATATTTGTGACGTAGTGGGGGGTACCTTGCTGGTTGCTATGCTGGGCAGTGGGTTGTGTGTGACCTCCACTGGCTGCAGCACGGCCTAGCAGGGCAGGGGATGAGTCATTATGCAAGGGGGCTTCGAAACTCGTCAGACAGGCATCTCCCAAGGAGCAGAACAATGGGAAGAAGGTGAGTGGAGACCTGGCTGGGGGCAGGGCTGGAAGTGAGTGAGTTAGTTTCGGTCTGGGAGCATGGAGGAGACAGCCTAGGGAAAGGGGCTGGAATTTAGGGGCCCAGTCTCCCCCATCTCAAGGGGGGCTGAGACATCCTAAGCCTGCCCTGTAACCAGATTACATCTGTGCTGTATCCTGGAAAAGCAATAAACTCCCTCTATTCTACTGGCTGGTGGAGTCTGTCCGTGCCATTACAGGGGTGCAAGAGACGGGAAAACCCGAGCGCGCCATCACAGTATTATATACCCTAAGCAGTTTATTACTATCTGTCACTGTTAGATTTAGTTTTGTAAGGAGTAGCTTTGCTTCACTTTGTCATCGTATACTAACCATGAAATATGATGCAACTGCTCTCCAGTCCCCACAATAAGAACTCATATGGTTTACACCAAAGGCATTTAAGCCTGTACACATTCTCCTTCCTTCCAAGTAACTGAGTAAATGTTTCTCATAATAACAGCTTATACCAAGGATCTAAAATGATAGAGGCGCTGGTTTCAATTTGGTCTGCAGTCCCATCATTCCTACTAACTTGGCATAATCTTCATACTCTAACCCTCCTCAAGGCACTAATGGCCACTGAGTCTTAATGCAACACTCAGCTCTTCAGACCACTAAGTCTGATGCTTAGTACCTAAAGCTTTTCAAATAATCTACTCTATTTACTTTGCTATTCCTTATCATTGCAGCAAGATCAGAAATTGTGTTCTTACAGAAAGCTGTGATGCCACCCAAAAAGACTGAACGAATACAAACTGAACAGCCTCACTGGAGGGCAGTCCATGGAGATCAGGATTAGGGTTATTAGTAGAGTAGACAGTACTCAGCACTCCTAATAACTGACTCAGCAGATATACATCAGTTACTGATGCTCTATGCATGGAGCAAAGAGCAGTGGATTATATAAGACAATTTTGTATTTCTGAAAAACAAGACAGAAAAGATCCAAGAAGTTCTGTGTCCTCCAAACCTTCTCTCACCAACGTAAGATATTACCTTGCCTACTTCATCTTATTTCAGAAAACCATTAGAATCTTAAAAAAAGCAGCCACCTGATCTTTTCCATTAGGTAGATGTGGCATACTCATGGCAGGAAATGAGGAAACAGCTGTACTTAATAGGGAGAATGGAGACACAGAATAAAAGGGTGTGGAAAAGCTCCCAGATCATACTCAAACTATTGGTTATTCTCTAAGCCCTTTGGATGCATATTCCAAACAGAACTAATACATATTTATAAGCAGGGGGAACCCACTACCACAAGCAGAGAAAACAGTACAAGATTTGTTCACAATACTTACTAGGATACGTTAATAATCACACTTCACATCCAGAACAAATTGCAAGCAATTTGTATAAAAAAAAATCAAATTAGTCCCAGGACCAATTTCAGAATCAAAACACAACTGATCAAATAGGTAATTAAAGCCATTTCTATCTTTGTTTAAACTGTCCACGTTATGATAAACAGGGCAAATACCAGATACTCAGACTAAAGCTGGTGGCTACTAATGTGAACATAAAAACTGTCAGGCTAGATTAAGCCAATGATTTCTTTAGCCTGGTATGTGTAGTAGCAAGGCCTTCAGAGAAAGGTGTGAATTTTCATAACCCACGTAACTGCACATCCTCCCGCACAAAAATGCTGCAGGGGAGAAAGATGCAACTGATGAACACTGTTTTGTCATGAAAAACGTGGCTCTACACTGGCCAGTGGGAATGAGTGCCATAACCAATTAATTCAATAGATATTTGAATGCCTTTTAATTATGTGCCTTTTTGTTTTATGGGAAAAGATAACAAGTGATAGGAACGGTCAAGAGAATGTCTCTTTCATTCAGTACTTATATAAAGCTAATTTTCTATTCAAATGCAAAAGTCTTCTAAACCAAAAGTTTTTAAATATAGGAGCCCAAAGTTTGGCTCCTAACTAAACATGAAAGCACTTGTCTAAAGCACGCCATCTACAGCAGCGAGTCAAATCTATAAGAGCTGAAGATGCTTGGCACCTCGGAAAAAGTGGTTATTCTTATTTAAGACCCAAAATATTAATGTAGGAGACTATTAGGCATAAAATTTGGAATTTTTGGCTCTTAACTTCATATTTCCTCATTTGCAAGTTCACCTCCACTTACAAGCGTCTTATTAACTTTTCTAAACTTTTTTTTCCTATTGTTGCAATGGGATTTATAACCAAAACTAAATGCTCTATTTAAGCTGAGGATGTCTCACCAATTTATATCGCAGCATAACATTTTCCATATTATTCTCTATCCTCCTCTTAATGCAGCCTATCAGCAGCAGTGGCCTGAGTATGTTCAGCAGAAGAGGTTCTCCCCCAGGTACCAACATTGTAGTCAATATGAGAATATGGTTGATAGAGGTAAAAATAATTAAGAGGCAAAAAGTGAGGAACATCTGTGCTGAAATTTAAGAATTATAGAAGCCAGGTGGCTAGACACAGCCTTCTCCAAGAAAGTAAATAAGGGGAAGAACTATAGTTAAAAATTAGCTTTTTATTATTCTTTAGATTGCTATACTGCTACAAAGAGTTGCAACATCTAATTGCTATCATCACAGATGTACAATATTAAAGCCTGTTCTGCACATGCTGCAGGGCAACAGCTTCTGATCAGCCACTTTAGCACAGGTATTTGATCCAAATATAAATGTGTGTTGGGGGGTAAAACAGGAGAACTCTCTTTAAATGACTACGTAGAGAAAATTCTAAAAGTAATGTTTAGTTTTTTAGTTAAACATTAGCACAAAAGCAGTGATAAATTCCACTCCAAAGTACTAAGTTAACCTTCCCTACATTGCCATGTTTAAGAAATCCTTTGCTAGGTGCAGGCAGTATTTGGTCCCCAGTTGTAGTCTCAGAATCTGTGAATATTGGCTGAAATACAAATACGCAGTTATATAACTAATAATTTTCTTTTTTTTTTAGTTTTCTGAAGATGAGAACAGATATGATAGATAGCAACAATACCAAATCTAGTGTGCCCCTCCTGGATCAAAGTCACTTGAGGATAGTCACCAAAGATGGACATAGCACACTACAGATGGATGGGACCCAAGGGAAAAGTATGGCATATCTACGAGATGCTTGGGGAATACTAATGGACATGCGCTGGCGATGGATGATGCTCGTCTTTTCTGCTTCTTTTGTCCTGCACTGGCTAGTCTTTGCAGTGCTCTGGTACCTCCTCGCTGAAATGAATGGGGACTTGGAGTTGGATCATGATGCCCCACCGGAAAACCACACCATTTGTGTTAAGTACATCACCAGCTTTACAGCTGCTTTCTCCTTCTCCCTTGAGACACAGCTCACTATTGGTTATGGCACCATGTTCCCAAGTGGGGATTGTCCAAGTGCTATCGCCTTACTTGCTATACAGATGGTCCTGGGGCTCATGTTGGAGGCCTTCATCACAGGTAATCAGATTTATTTCACAATTTTCAATATGGTAGGTCCAGTCAACCACATGCATAGAGCAGATCTGGTAAAATTCTTAATTATCTCATTGTGAATACTTACAGAGTGGACATAAAAGGAGTGGGGCCAGTTACTTAAAAAAAACCCAGGACTGAAAATTATAACTTCAACAGTTTTGTAATTGTCAATTATAAAAATGGAGAGGCACTTGAATAATAGTTTTTCAGAATTTTACTGGAATCCAAAAAGTGCTGTTCTTTACAGTAACTATTATCCTCATACTTCCAATAAGTTATCTTCCATCTTCCTCTGTCAATTTCTTCCTTCCAACCTTTCAGTGATTTGAGGTTTAAACCAATTTGTTTTGGTACAGACTCACATGTTTACCCAAAACTTTTAAATAATTTGTTTAAACCGAGCTCAATTTTTTCATCCCCCTTCAGTTCACTGTTAAGTTTCCATGGGCAGCCAACATTCAGAAACATTGTAGGATCCCAGTGGTACTTAATTTGAATTTACTTAAAATGGCTGAATGATGGAATAATTTTAGATAAATATATTATCCTGTGCAAAAAGATTTCCACATTATATTTTAAACAGTTTCATTAAATGAAGGACCAAATTATATGCCATATATATTGTTCAAAGAGTTGATCTTCAGTAATTAAGGGACACAGCTCTCCCTGCAACTGTCTTATACATACTACTAGATCGTGCAGACAAAGAAGTTTATGGCAAGAAAGCCAAGGCTCTTTAAAAAAAATGGATATAGTGGATTTATTTTGACTAATAAATTGAGACTAGAAACTGGTGCCAGCACCTTTTAGTATGAGGGGAGCTATGCTATCTGTAGATTACAACTAATAATTTGAAACCTCATTTTCTCCTACTGGGCTATTCCATACAGGTTGTAGACAAATAATAAACTCATCTGAGCATCACGGTTGTAGTTAATTCATTTTTTCCTGTTATATAGGTGCTTTTGTGGCAAAGATTGCCCGTCCAAAGAATCGAGCATTTTCCATCCGCTTTACTCATTCTGCAGTAGTGGCACACACTGAGGGCAAGCCATACCTTATGTTCCAGGTGGCTAACACTCGTCCCAGCCCGCTCACCAGTGTTCGGGTTTCAGCTATCATTTACCAAGAACAGGAGAATGGTCAGCTACATCAAACTAGTGTGGATTTCCACCTGGACAGTATCACTTTTGAGGAGTGTCCATTCTTCGTGTTTCCACTGACTTACTACCACTCCATTACCCCATCCAGTCCTCTAGCTGTTGTCCTCCACGGGGACATCCCTCGCCATTTTGAGCTAGTAGTCTCTCTCTCAGCGATGCAGGAGGGCACAGGGGAAACGTGTCAGAGGAGGACGTCCTACCTCCCATCGGAGATCATTCTACACCATCGCTTTGCCTCTATGCTGGCCCGAGGTGCCAAAGGGGAATATCAGATCAAGATGGAGAATTTTGATAAAACTATTCCAGAGCTCCCAGCTGCAGCAGACTCTAAGAGTCCAAAGAGGACTGATATGAAGATCCGCATCAATGGACAGCACACTGACAGCTTCCAGATTTCTGAGACTGGTCTGACAGAATAGAATTTGAATTTGGTGCCTTTTTTAATTACATTAAACTTTCAGGTTCAACTTCCAGCCTTCCTTCTCCTCCTATTTTCTTTTGTGCTCCTTCCCTTTTCTCCATCCTTTTGATTGCAGTATAGAATGCAGAGTAAAAAGCATGATGTGCACATGTAAACTGATGAAGAGTCTGTTTTAACTGTACTGAATAGAGAGTCAGGGACAAGTATCACAGGACAAGTTCTGGGAAAGTACAAGTGCTACCTGCTGAATTCACTAGACTATGATTAAAAATGCACTGACCCTGAAGTATGAGACTTTCAGACTCCCACAGCTGACCAAAACCTAATTAAATGATACATGGGTAAGGTACTATGGCAAAATGCTCAGCAACACTGCAATAGAAGATTTCATCTAAAACTAACCTGAGGCTGTTCAGCTAAATTACACTAGTTTGGGGGAATGAGCAATGAGGTAGTTCCAAGATTGTTCTCTCTTTTACATCAACGTTTTCTGGGTATATGGTTACATTAGTTTTCAGGTGGCTGAACCACAACCATTGCCAGTCTTTTCAGCAGCAGTGAA